ATTTGGGAGTTTATTGGCCCTGAGGGGTCTTTGTATCTGAGGACATAGACTCTCCTGGTGCTCTGAAACTCAACTCCTAGAATCCTAACAGACACCTAACTAGGAGTAGGAAAAAGACAGTCCTTCTAACTGAGCACCTTTGTAGAATTTTTCCCACTTATAATGAAATATATTCAAGAATGACAAGACATCAATAGATTCCTGTTTTCAGACATCTCTCCAAAAATCCAAACCCTGGGCCACATCTCCATGTCTATCTAAACAGGTAATTATACTTTGTGTATTAAAGTCTTCTATCTCTGACCTACCCAGTGCACAAAAAACAGTTTAACCTTTAGACCAAGTCATGTACACCATTTTACTCCTCGAAAGATGAATTTATGTTATTCTGTCAAATCAGTATCAACCTGACCTTTAAACACATCAGTGTTTCTTGGAAAAATATTATGGCTGGGATGCCGACCGAGGTAAACAATATTAGCTGCTCCTACCCAGCACCAAGCATGCTGTGCAGAGGCCTATCAGAATAAGGGGGCGGAAGGCAGCAGGGCCCAGAGCTCTTCTGACAAACTCCACAGGATATGAAGAACAATGCAAATGCACCAGAATTGGCAGATATATTTCTGTATTACTGTTCCAGAGACAGCAACTAAGGTGAATCATTTCCCACCACCTACCACTCCAAATTATTTCAAATTCTGAAGGGACCCTATTTATTTCATTGGTAGCTAGCAATTTACTTAGCTGAAGATCATTATATTTATGTGTCTGTGAAATTCTCACAATAATTACACATTTGAGCTGTCTCCAATGTGCTATACGTAGTCTCATTAGTCATATCCTTGGAAGGATATTATCACATTTTGTAGCAACCTTCGCAACGTACATCTAAAGCGCCCAACTGGATGTGAACTTTGATTCTCGTGGTTTTCTTACATATCTGATTTATCAAACAGCAGGACAGCCTGCATTCACAAGCAAACGCTTACAGAACGCAAGGAAATTGTCTTAATTTCTCTTTTCTCTAGATCGCTTCAGCACGGCAGCCCTGGAAGATATTGTATTGGGCAGCAGGGAGAACAAAACTAGCTGAGATCTAAAATTACTTGAGGAGCTTACCAGAAAGTTCCATAATGGGAAATATTTATAAGCCAGTAAGCTTCTTTCCCAACCATAAAGTCATTGAAGGGTAAGGGGGAAGCAGTGGAAATTTCTGGCATTCTCAGGCAAGTGTCCCCAGGTTGAATTCTCAGGACAACTTTTGTGAGGCTGCTCAGTTTATCTAAAAGGTCTATTTTGTTGTTTTAAAGCCAGAGATTATTAGAGAGAACCAACCGCCTAGTGGTTTTGCCCATTTCTGCCTTCTGAGCATTTATTTCAGAAGAATCCACTATTACTATAAACAGAATGATTCTCAGAACATCTCTAACCTTGATAGCAAATAACCATGATAGAAGAGCAATTCCCCTCTTGAGCAATGATTCTAAGAGAAGCTGGCAATTCATGCTCCAGAGAACACTGTCCCAGAGAACACTGTAGGACCACTGATGGGATGAGGAGGGGGGTGGGTTCTAGGACATGTGCCATGATTTACCAGGGCACATATGTGTGTAGTCATCGCATTTACCATCTCACCACCCCCCAGGAGATGGTAAACCCCATGGGCATACAGATTGTATCTACATATGCTCCCCTTCACATCCTCAACACCTAGGACAGTGCCTAGCACACAGTAGGGGCTTGATAAATATTTATTAGAAATTAAGACATAACTGAGGGCATTAATCTGGATCAGCTATATGCCTTTTACCTTCTGATGGGTAGTATGACTATCTGATATTCAAATGGAATGAGGCTGAGAAGTCATGTGACTTTCTCACGTGTCTGAAGCCACAGTCTCCAGACCATTATGCTCCATCACATTCCATTTATTAAACAGTGAATTAATGAGCACCTACTACATGCTAGGAACTACGCTAGGAACAAGTCACACAGAGCTTCTGGTCTAATGGGAAAACAGACCTTAGCCAGAGCTCCCAAGAAAGGAGATTCCCAAAGTAGAAAAATAGTCAGCCAATGAGTACACAGTAAAGCTAAGAGAATGTGCTGCCTGCTACTCCTGCTGTGTGGCGGTGTAGCCAGAGTTTGGCGGCCTAGGAGGTGACTTTGAGGGACAACTGAAATGCTTTATTTCTCGGTTGTGATGCTGGTTTCACGACTATACATTTTCATGACTATAAGTACACATCACCAAAGTGTACACTTAAAAGGAGTGAATTTTACTTAATGTAAGCTGTTGCTGTTGTTCAGTCACTAAGTTGTGCCCGACTCTTTGAGACCCCACGGGCTGCAGCAAGTCAGACTTCCCCATCCTCCACTATCTCCTAGAGTTTGCTCAAACCCATGTCCATTGAGTCAGTGATGCCATCCAACAATCTCATCCTCTGTCATCCCCTTCTCCTCCTGCCTTCAATCTTTCCCAGCATCAGGGTCTTTTCCAGTGAGTCAGCTCTTTGCATCAGGTGGCCAAAGTATGGGAGTTTCAGCTTCAGCACTGGTCCTCCCAATGAATATTCAGGATTGATTTCCTTAGGATTGACTGGTTTGATCTTGCAGTCCAAGGGACTTTCAAGAGTCTTCTCCAGCACCACAGTTCAAAAGCACCAGTTCTTCAGCGCTCAGCCTCCTTTATTGGTCCAGCTCTCACATCCATACGTGACTCCTGGAAAAACCACAGTTTTGACTATACGGACCTTTGCCAGCAAAATGATGTCTCTTCTTTTAATACACTGTCTATGTTTGTCATAGCTCTTCTTCCAAGGAGCAAATGTCTTTTAATTTCATGGGTGCAGTCACTGTTCATGGTGATTTTGGAGTTCAAGAAAATAAAATCTGCCAGTGTTTCCATTTTTCCCCCCATCTATTTGCCATGAAATGATGGGACTGGATGCCATGATCTCAGTTTTTTGAATGTTGAGTTTCAAGCCAGTCTTTTTACTCTCCTCTTTCACTTTTATCAAGAGACTCTTTAGTTCCTCTTTTCTTTCTGCCAATATAGTGATATCATCTGCATATCTGAGGTTGTTGATATTTCTCCCAGCAATCTTGATTCTAGCTGGTGATTCATCCATCCCAGCATTTCTCATGATGTATTCTGCATATAAGTTAAGGAAGCAGGGTGACAATATACAGCCTTGACATACTCCTTTCACAAATTTAAACCAATCCATTGTTTCATGTCTGGTTCTAAGTGTTGCTTCTTGATCTGCATATACGTTTCTCAAAAGGCAGGTAAGGTGGTCTGGTATTCCCACCTCTTTAAGAATTTTCCACAGTTTTTTGTAATAATGTAAGTTATACCTGAATAACTAACTTTAAAAACTAAAGCAACTTTGGAGGCTGAAAACAACAGTCATTTGTTATCCTCTTGGATACTTTGGACTGGGAATCTGGGCTGACATAGCAGAGTGCTTATCCTGGGGTCTTAGCTGGGAAGAGCCATAGGGTGGACGTGTCCAAACAGTTGAGGGCTGAGTCACCAGGAGCCCCTGCTCTCACGTGTCAGATGGCTGGACTCTGTGCTGGAGTGACTGGAAGGATGTCACCTGAAGCACCTCCATTCAGGCAGTGCTGTGAACACTAAGAATATAGCAGTTAACGTAATAGACAAATATCTTTGTCCTTTTGGAGTTGACAGATGGAAGGCAAACCGTAAATAATGAACATTATAAAGTAAACTGATGGTATGTTGGAGCTAATATGTGCATGGAATGAAGAGATGGAGAAGAGACTATCCGGTGTGAAAGGCACCTCCTCCAGTCCTGATATCTTGCTCTAACAGTACTGTACAATGATACCAAGTTGCAGCTTTAATTGCATTTCCCTGGTTACTAGAGCACTGAGCATCTCCAGATGTGTGGCAGACTGCTAGCTGGTCACCAAACGCAGCTCCTCTTTTCCTGGGTCCATTTGGATTATACTTCCCAGCCTCCCACGCAGCTGGCTGCAACCTCAGAGTTCCAACCAAAGGTGAGCAGTAGTGTCCTCACCAGGTGGCTCAGTGGTCGCCTGCCAAGCAGGACACACGGGTTCCATCCCTGGGTCAGGAAGATCCCCTGGAGGAAGAAACGGCAACCCTCTCCAGTATTCCTGCCCGAGAATTCCCATGGACAGTCCTCGAGGTCACAAAGAGGCAACACGACTGAGCGAATAAACAAGTGTCCTCACCATTTCCAAGACCGACCCATAAAAACCTCTTTTCTTCTTCCAGCAGCCCAGTTCCAAGAGCAGCTTTGCCAGTTCCACCGTGAAAATGGCAGGGCTTCCAGTAGCTGGGCTCCAGGCTGCTGTGAGAGCGCCCCACCCTGCCCCCAACTACGTAAATGCGCCTCATTTACAAGAGCAAGAAAGAAACCTCTGTCGTGGGGCCTCGGCCTGACAGCACAAGCCCATCCCAACTAAGACGCTTAAATGCTCCTAGGGTTTGTCTTCTGAGCATCGGCTGTTCAGACCCTCTGCCAGACTTAGGGTGGGCTTATTTCTCCTTTCTTATTTATCTGTAGTGAAAGTGACTCTTTGCGACCCCGTGGACTACAGTCCAGCCTACCAGGCTCCTCCATCCATGGGATTCTCCAGGCAAGAATACTGGAGTGGGTTACCATTTCCTTCTCCAGGGGATCTTCCCGACCCAGGGATCGAACCCCGGTCTCCCTCATTGGAGGCAGACGCTTTAACCTCTGAGCCACCAGGGAAGCCCGTTTATTTATCTGTAGGAGTCCTTAATAGCCTTGCTACTCAAAATGTGGTCTGTGGACCAGCACCATATGCTTCACCTGGGACCTTGTTAAAAATGCGGGCTCTCCAGCCCCCCCGTACCTGCTCAAACAAGCCACCTTTTCAAAAGATCCGGTGATTCCCGTGTACAGTCAACCTTCGTCACCAGCAAAGCCCCATTAACAATTCCCCGGAAGTAAAAACAGAATGTGGATAATTAATCTAACCTTTGTTTTTTTCCTTTGTGCTCAGTCTGCTGTTACTTGTTCACAGGGGGTCGTAGGCAGAAGCCCCACTCACCAGGTCAGACCACAGTTCCTGGTGCAAAATGGCCGCACAGACACCTCAGCCTGTGGGCTATACCGGAAGACTACACTCAAGATTCAAGATGGCGGCAGCAGGCCGTGCGCAGAGAGGCTGAGCCTGGCACTGGATCTGGAGCGTGAGCAGTGCATTTGCCCCGCCCCTTGATAACCCCGCCCCTCCCTTCCCCCAATTAGATCCCTGCACAGCAGCCACGCCCACTGGCTGGTGTGGGCGTGGCTGAAGAGCACATGAAGAACATGTGCTCACTTCTCCCCATCCTGTGATCAAAGAATGAGGCTTTCCTTTGTTGCTGACGCAAAGGAAAGTGTTTCTCACTCTCATTCTATCGGCTCAGATGATGCAGAGCAGAAGGACCTTTGCTGGGGATTGACTCAGAATGTTGGTAACAAGCTGAGCAGCACTACTTCACATATTCTGCAGTAACTGTTGTTCTGTGGTTGCTAAGTCATGTCCAACTCTTTGTGACCCCGTAGAGTGTAGCCCGCCAGGTTCCTCTGTCCATGAGATTTTCCGGGCAAGAATACTGGAGTGGGTTTCCATTCCCTTCTCCAGGGGATCATCCCTAACCAAGAACTGAACCCACATATCCTGCATTGGCAGGTGAATTCTTCACTACTGAGCCACCTGGGAAGCCTCTGCAGTAATTCTTCCATCTTTTATATGCATTGGATTCATTTTCTTCCAGCCTGCTGCTATCTTTCCATTTTTTGGCTCTATTCTCTCATATACTTTTTTTTTTTTTTGATGTTTCACATTGTAGTATTTACCAAATTTTAGTTTATGGCTTTATCTTTTAAGAAATTCTCTGAGATTACACAGACATTATGCTGTATTTTCTTCTAGAAGTTTTGAAGTTTCTTTTCACATTTTGTCCTTCCACCTGAATTTTGTTGGTCTGTAGTGTGCCGTTAGGCTCTCCTTTTATTTTTTCAAATGGATAATAATTACCCCAGAGCCATTCATTGACTCATCCATCTAGTCCGTACGAGATTGTAATGCTACCCAACCATAGATCACATATCAAGTTTCTATACATGGGTTTATGCCTCTGGTCTCCCTACTCAAATTCTTCTGTCGTATAACCTGTTGTTTTCTTAGGTAACCATATATTGCAACATATTTTGTCCCCATAATGAGGTTTTTCAGTAACTATCAAATAGTCTGCCATCCTTCATTTCATTAGGCTGTGAGATTTTTTTCAGTTTTGCTCTGTTGTAAATAACGCTGGAGTGAATATCCTTCACACCATCTTTGCTCAAACACATATTGATTTAAGATAAATTCTTTGAGTGAAATTAGCAAGTAGGNAATAGTCTGCCATCCTTCATTTCATTAGGCTGTGAGATTTTTTTCAGTTTTGCTCTGTTGTAAATAACGCTGGAGTGAATATCCTTCACACCATCTTTGCTCAAACACATATTGATTTAAGATAAATTCTTTGAGTGAAATTAGCAAGTAGGCATACTTTTAAGGCACTGAATAGATTTTGCTAAATTGCCCTCCAGAAAAATTGTACCTATTTATATTTCCACCTGTTTCCTGCCACCTTCCTAACATTTTAATTCATCAGCATTTAAATCTCTGCCAATTTCTTGGGCAAAAATGAGGACATACCACTGTAATTCATGTGCCTTTTATGACAGATTAATGATGAACATTTTTACGTTTATTGGCCTTTGTATTTGTTTATTTTAACAAATATGTGTGAAACCATCCTGTTCTGAGCCTATCTATGTGTAAGTGCATGTGTCTTTTTCTTATTTACAGATAAAGCTCTTTATATATGAAAAATGACAACTCTTGCTTATGTAGATTGCAAATTCCTTTGTAATTTATATTTTACTTTTGCTTGTGGCAGTTTCCTAATATGCAGAAGCTTTAAATGTTAACATGATCAAGTCTAGCAATGTTTTCCTTTAATATTATACTGAGAGGAAAAATAAAGATTCTATCCCAAACCATTCCTTGATGTATTCTTTCGGTTCTTTTACATCTCGTTTTTCACATTTGATTATTCCATTCACTTGCTAGTTACGTTCAGTCTGCATGTGGCAACTGTGTCTCTCCTGCCTTCTTTAGCCTGCGGAAGTCTCCCTGTGTGCTGTGCTGTGCTTAGTCTCTCGGTCGTGGCTGACTCTTTGCGACCCCACGGGCTGTAGCCCGCCAGGCTCCTCTATCCATGGGATTCTCCAGGTAAGAATACTGGAGTGGGTTACCATTTCCTTCTCCATGGGATCTTCCTGACCCAGGGATCAAACCCGTGTCTCCTGAACCTCCTGCATTGCAGGTGGATTCTTTACCCACTGAGCCCTAGGTACCTTCCCTCCTACCAGTTTCATGATGGTGATGTTTCATGGTATGTTATTCTTCCATGAATGCCATCTCCTACTGTAGCAGCAAGCCTGGTGCGGGCAGCATCCCTGTCTCTCCTCCACCTTTGTGTCCCCAGCATCATCAGAATGTCAGGCTCCTGCTTCCACTCATGTGCTATCCCTCTAGCTTTGTTTAAGGCATACGATAATTTCCACTTATTCCTATCAGCCCTTATATCTATTCAGCTTAACTAATGTACATATGTGTGTATATAGTGTTATACTTATAGAGTTGTATCCTATCCAGCCTTTTTATGAGTCTGCAGCCAGTTGAGGATCTGCCTTGGCTCATTTGACTGTGTCATTCTCTCCTCAACTTAAAACTCACCATTCAGAAAACTAAGATCGTGGCATCCAGTCCAATCACTTAATGGCAAATAGATGGGGAAACAATAGAAACAGTGAGAGACTTTATTTTCTTGGGCTCTAAAATCACTGCAGATGGTGGCTGCGGCCATGAAATTAAAACACGCTTGCCCCTTGGAAGAAAAGCTATGACCAACCTAGATAGAACATTAAAAAGCAGAGACATTACCTTGCCAACAAAGGTCCATATAGTAAAAGCTATGGTTTTTTCAGTAGTCATGTATGGATGTGAGAGTTGGACTATAAAGAATGTTGAGCACCAAAGAACTGATGCTTTTGAACTGTGGTGTTGGAGAAGACTTCTGAGAGTCCCTTGGACTGCAAGGAGATCAAACCAGTCAATCCTAAAGGAAATCAGTCCTGAATATTCATTGGAAAAACTGATACTGAAGCTGAAACTCCAATTCTTTGGCCACCTGATGCGAAGAACTGACTCATTTGAAAAAATCCTCATGCTGGGAAAGATTGAAGGTGGGAGGAGAAGGGGACGACAGAGGATGAGATGGTTGGATGGCATCACCAACTCAATGGACAAGAGTTTGAGGAGTTGGTGAAGGACAGGGAAGCCTGGTGTGCTGCAGTCCATGGGGTCACAAAGAGTTGGACACAACTGAGCAACTAAACTGAACTGTTCTCTTCTCAGCAATAGTTCTCTAGGTAGTGCCCCTGGGCTTTATAAGCAAGCAAACACAATATCTAAAAATAATTTAGTTAGTTTTATGTCTTCTAGTCATAATTCACATTTTTTATTTGTTTATTACATTGGCTAAAACTTCCAGAACATGTAGTTCTTTAATAAACAAGAAACTATACAAAACCAAAATAGAAGATGGTTATATTGTATTTAGATTGCAATTTCTTTCAATTATAAATTTCAAAAGATATCCAGATGGTCTCCTGATGTGCACACAAAGATAATTTTCATCACTCTCATATTCTCATACTAAAAGTAGCCTCCATCCACCCCCACATCCCCAGCAGCCCGCCCCAGTCTCCTTTTGCACCACTGCAGTGAGTGCAGTGTTCTGGTGGGAAGAGAGGGTCACGCCACTCCTCCAGCAGCAGGGGGCAGTGGACAGGCACATTGCCCAGGTGCCAGGAGAGCTAGGACCCAATCCCAGCTCTGGCCCTGAGATGGCATCCTGTCTGGGACAAGCCACTGCCCCTCTATGGGTCTCATTTCCCCACTTTCGAGTCAAGGCATCCACCTCCTAGCTCTGCAGCCTGGGACGCCAGGCTTGTGTTGGAATGGCCCTTCAAAGAGTGTGGGTCTTGCTACCTTCTAGCCCCGATCTCTGAGCAATGTGATCCTTGCCAGTGCAAATGCAAGCCAAGTGATGCCTTAAATAAGCACTGACTTGAAAGCCTGCTGCAGCAAGTGTATTAAGGAGATAAACCTTGGAGAATATCCTGTGTTGGTTGAGTTGAGCCTATGCAGATCACAGAGAGAATAAACCCTAAAGCACTGTCAACCCACCATAGGGGCAGTGCGCCCAAGATGAGTGATATCAGGGAAGGAGAGGCAGAGGAAGCACTACCAAGTCCAGTGGAAGCAGAGACAACGGTTCAAATCCTTCACCGCTACCGAAGCACCGCCCCTCTGCAGAGCCTTCCCAATCCTGGCTAGTCACCCGCACGCCAAGACTCCTAGCACCATGGCGGAGCTCTCCCAACCGCATCACAGCTGCTTGAGGACAGGGGACAGCCTTGCCACTTTTGCCTTCACTGAGTCCTCTCAGATATTCAGATGGTGACATGATATTTTCCTTTTTTCAAATCATATTTTTAATTAGAAAAATTATCGTCAAATGCTTATTTTAGAATATGAGAGCTTCCCTGATAGCTCAGTTGGTAAAGAACCCACCTGCAATGCAGGAGACCCCAGTTCGATCCCTGAGTCTGGAAGATCCCCTGGAGAAGGGAAAGGCTACCCACCCCTGTATTCTTGGGCTTCCCTGGTGGCTCAGATGGTAAAGAATCCGCCTGCAATGAGGAAGACCTGGGTTCGATCCCTGGGTTGGGAAGATCCCCTGGAGAAGGAAAATGTGACCCACTCCAGTATTGTGGCCTGGAGAATTCCACTGACTGTATAGCTCATGGGGTCGCAAAGAGTTGGACATGACTGAGCGACTTTCACTTTTAGGAGCTAGAGAAAGGTATAGGAAAATCGATCACTCATCTCATCCAGAAATTAAACACTACATTTTCAACATTTTTAATTGGAAGATAATTGCTTTTGAATATTGTGTTGGTTTCCGTCATACATCAGCATGAGTCAGCAATGGATATACATCCCCTCCTTCGTGAAACTCCCTCCCAGTTCCCACCCTCTAGGCTGTCACAGTACCAGTACCCTGTGTCATGCAGAAAGTTCCCCCTGGT